TATAAATAAAACCATTTGTTTTTATCTCGCAATATATTCCCGGCCTTTTATATATATATATATATATATATTCTATATATTTCTATTCGTTCAGATCCATGATCTTATTTCCATTTTGTGAGAACACAAATATGCATTTAAGTGCACTGATCCATGAATTAACTTCACGCTTGATTGGCGACGAAAAAAAAAACCCTGGATCAAATTGTTTATTTGCTTATTCCGTTGATTGGATTTTTTTTTCTAAAACAGACATAACCCTCAACTTGCCCCATTCTCTATCTTTTCCCTCCCCACCCATCTCTCTCTTCTCTCTCTCCTTCGGTGAGATGAACCTCCAGGCCAAGATGAGCCTTCGTTGCCAGGTATGCCTGATGCTAGATTCGACAAGATGACTCACCGGTTCTCCGTTTCCTCAATCTGAACCACTATCCCCAGTTTGAGGTGAATACACAAACGATATGCATAAGTATTTATTTATTTGGGGCTTTATCTCTTTTTATAAACATTTCATTATCCTGAGAAGATTTGACGTTAAAAATCACGTCTCAAAATAATGACAACAAAGATGGTTCATTATTTTATGTAACTGTCAACCTGGTATAAAAACTTCAAGCTTTTTTGTTACTGTTGAAGGTCGGTCCACTAAAATCCGTCTATTCTGTGATTATGACATGATGTAAATTTTTTTTTAAGTGTTGATATATTGAGTGTTCCAATTCAAATGAAATGACCGAATTTTGGTGAATAATTTTCAACGTTTTGGATAAGCACATATGCCCGTAAATTGTTGTTTTTTTCTCTTTTATTTTTTTGTCTCTTGGGCCTTATTTTCAGGTTATAAAAATTGTTAGAAAATCATTTGCTGAGAATTCTCATTTAAAAATGTTTTTATTGATCATCGGTGGAACCATTAACGGAAGTCTTTAGGAAAAAAACAACAAATGGTTAAAGACATCCAGAAAGGCAGTTAATAATTCGAAGACGCATAGAAAAAAAGTGATTTATTGATAGATTTGTTTTTACGTGTCAACCCATAATGTGTGTTATGTTCGTTTATATTTGGATCGTATTTCCTATTTTTCAACCGATTTATTTCTCAATATTCGCAGGAACGTAAAATTACTGGCAGTGGTTCCACAGTTTGATATGGCTCTAAAATCTCTACCAATTGTTTTGGCTTTTTGGCATTTGAAAAACACGAACATTATTGTTGGAAAGAATCAATTTGCAACTCATACTCCATCGGGTTATTATTATTCTTCGTTGGAACAATATTTTGTGTGTGTGTGTGTGTTTCTTCACCTGTGAAATTAAATGTGTTTCCTGTCCCATAGAAAATTAGATTTAACATGGCAGTCAATATTCTTTCTGATATTTCAACGAAATTTCCACTTTTTTTGTTAGGTTCTTGAAAATCATTTTTCTTGCACACTTTTTTTTCTTTTTATTTATATTCTTCAATATAGAAATGCTTTAAAAATCAAAGAAATCTTATATCCAGAAAGGCATTTAAAGACAAGGAAAATTGTTTGATTGATGGAATTGTTTTTTATCGGTTATCAACCCATTCTGATTTAAAAATAATGTTTTTTTTAGCGGCTCGGATTGAAAAATCGGATTAAGAGGTCGTGTACCAGTCAACCTCAATTATCTTCACTCATTTTTAATTTTCCTTTATGAAAGGTCGATCCTGATCTTCTCCCCACAAACTATGGGTAAATAGCAGGACAGACCGGGTTCTATATCCTTGGATGGCAACAGAAGTACTGCAGAAAGAAATGGCAACACGACTAGGAAAAAAAAGCCTCGTCCGTCATCCATCGAAAGTTAAATAATCGCCTGTTCTATTTACTGATTCCCTCCATCCATGAGAACTATGTATGTTTTTTTTTTTTTGTTTTTTTTTCAGCGTTTTTGGTCTTGTACAAATTAGAATACTATTAGGAATACATCTGGCAGCAATAGCTCTATTTTTTGCAAACCTAACTCTTGATAGAGGTAAGGATGAGGAGAAACAAAATGTAATAGATCCGCAGCGACTGTATCGTATATATGAGTTCCACATTAAGTTTGGTCAGTTGAGAAAGAAGATTACAGAAAAGAGAAAAGTTTACGGAGGTATGTGGGCGAGATAACAGTTAATCCTAGACTTGAACAGATTAAGATTATAAGGTAAGAGAAGCATCATTTAGTGGTTTGTATCAGTGAAAGCTACTCGAGTGGAATGACATCTCGCCAGGGAATACGAAAATTACATGCTGTTTTGCTCCAAAGCGCGTGACATGGCGCGTCTTAGCTGAATTAAAATAGAATGTGTTTGAAAAAAAGAATGTAGATCGTCTGAACACTTTCCATGGAAATAGTGATAGAGCAATGATAAGCCTGCGATATTTTTATTTGTAGGGTGAATATAATTTGTCATATCCGGACGCAGAGACCTTGTCCAGACAGGACAGTGAAGACAGAAGGGCTCTTGAATATATATAGCAACATTACTCAATTTTAGGCCTGATCTAGCTTTGTTAAGGTAGAGGATAGCAGGGGAGTCAAGTACTTCCTGGAGAACCCGCATGGAACCATCCATTTTTCCCGCGAAACTTTACGGATGGCTCAGATGTACGACCTTCAGTTGAGGTCTGGGTTGTGTTTAAAGTCCAGCAGGAGCTCAAGACAAAGGACATCCCGGTAGAAGAGTCTATTCATCGCGATATTTAACACATTCAGGCTCCGATCGGCGATGATCAGGTCTGGAACCGTTTACTTTTCAGTTTCTAAACTTGCTAGAATTCAAAATTGTTCACACGAACCCATTTTCGGGATTAATCATTTTTCTACCCCCGGATAAACTTTCACAAAGACAACATGTCGTAAGCCTACCGTCCGCTTTTGTTAAAAAATTGTTCAAGCGATTAATCATTTTTCCAGCAACGTTACAGATGGCTCAAACCAGTTCATATGGCTTTAAGTCCCAACAGGAACTCAAGACAAGGCATATCCCCAAGGAACACCCGTTCATCTCGATAGTCACTGATTCCATAGGTTCAACTGAAAATGACCAGGGCTAGAACCGCAACTTTTCACTGTCTCACTTGTCTGTTCAAAATTGTTCACAGGAACTTTACCGATTAATCATTTTTACTCGACAGATCTTTTCCCAAAGGCAACATGTTCCTATCGATATTCCTTTGTTCAAAATTGTTCATAGGAGTTTTCGGCGGTTATTCATTTCACTCTTTAGATGGAGGAAACCCAAAGGCAATATTGTTTAAAAGCGCATGATTATTTAGCGATTACCAATATATATATATATATATATATCCGTATATATATTCAAACCTTTATATATATATTATACGTCCACAGGGTCGAATCATTTCATCCCTTCATGTTATACTTTAAAATTATTCTAGCGTAGTCATCTTTTTCCTAAAATTTCTGCTTTCCCAATCACTTTAATCATAACTCTTTAGATACATCTGTTATCATATTTTATCTATCCTACCCATTTATAGATAATCTGCAAAAGGCCGTCTAATATTCTTCTTCGCTCACAGATTTTTGTCTTTTTAATTGGTGGAATGGGCTTCTAAAGATTAATATGTTAAAGAATACACTATCTTACTTTATACAATGCTTTTGGTACGGGGGATGTAACACGAATAAACGATCATGTCTATTTTCGATTCGTGATCGTCCAAGTTTTGCGCTTCAAAGAAATGCAAAGAACATTTACTGAAATTCGAACTCAGAGACAAGTTTCTCGTTCCATTATTTCTCCCCCAAGCTATCCATGCTTTTAGCCAGGCTCGACGTTGAAGAAATAAACTGTTTCGGACAAGAACTGTTGTTTCAACTTGATATGGCTATAAACCATCCTTCTCTCCTTCTACGTCCATCAGTGATCGAGCCTCATTCAGTAACTGTCCGTTTTAAACTCTTGGACCTTTTGTTGGGTAACAGATCTTAAAACCATAAAAAAATGTCAACTTAGGATCTATTGACCTATTCTATTTGGTGACGACAAAACAAGCATTTGAAAAATTAAGCTATTTGGGTAGCAGACTTAGAAATAACAAGGAAAATATGACCTAGAAATCTGAAAAGGTTGATTATTATTATTGTTGTTGTTGTTTTTTGTGTTATGTTGCCTGCTTTGCCGAATGGCGGAGCCAGGTCCAAACTAAATGGTCTTTAACCCCTTTTGGAGAATTGTCATTTAACTGATAGCAGTTTTCTTAGTGTTATGGTAAAAACACCCTATTCTATAGTTAAACCGAGTCTCCCACCTAATATAAGTAGGAGTAGGCGGGAGAAACGAATACTAGTCGATGTCGGACGACCGGCTGAACGGTTGAACTCTCTGCCTTCGGGCGGGGAGGAACCCGAACGAGGCTACGCCGAAGGGCGGAGTAAAACCGACCCTGAACCCGTTTATACGGGTTCAAAGGGTATATTTTGGCCGAGCCCACGGGCTCGGAGATCCCACGTTAAACCGGCCTTGTGCCACATGAAACCCTCGTGGGGGGGTGACTAAATGCTAGTTGATGTCGGATGACAGACGACAGTTAGTCGAATACGAAAAAGTATCAGCGACCACAACAAGATTACTCTGCGTAATACCTATTATATCAAGTTCCTAACGTTTTGTACGTCGAACCTATTTTAGGACCGATTTAGTACAAATACCAGCCTTCACTGCGTGGTTATTAAAGTTTGGGTGGCAACTATTCTTTAAAGATTTTTTTATGCAAATCACCAAACCGGCCATGTAGATCCTGGCTCTTTTAATATTAAGACAAAAAAAAAAAAAAAAAAAAAAAAATCTACCTTAGTTGCACTTTCGGTTGTGCCTCTTTAGGGAAAGCTATTTTCAAAAACAAATCCGCCTTTGTTGAATTTTAGGTTCTGTATCTTCAGGCAAAAGCTAAAAGAAGGTAACTTCAAAACCAAATTCACCTCTGCTGCCTTGCAGGTCCTGCCTCTTTGGGCAAATTGTA